TTAGTACATTACTACTCACTTCATTCTAGGTTTCTTAGTACATTATTACTCACTTCATTCTAGGTTTCTTAGTACATTACTACTCACTTCATTCTAGGTTTTTCAGTATAATATTACTCACCTCATTCCAGGTTCCATCTTCAGTGACAGGCCAAGAATATGCTAATTTATTCCACAGTGGATTGTCCACTTTAGAGTGTTTCCACTGTCCCATCTTATGCAGGATTTCTTGCTTGATGGCAAATCTGAAAACAAAAGAAGATGCAACATGAGCGACAATGCAAAAACAATTTTGTTATCAGTGATTGGACATTTCTTTCAGCCTTCGTAGAAGAAAATGTGGGTGGAAAAAATTGATGGAAATCTTGCTGAAATGTTTGAGAATCTACAATAAAGGAATGATTAGAACACTAACCTTTGTCTCCTAGCCTCAGAGTGTTTCGCAGCAAATTTCTCTACCACTGCAATTGCACATGTCTGACCAGTATACTGCCTATCACTGTCACCAACACATATTGGATCGGATTCCATGGACAAGTCACCAATAAATGTCAATACTAAACTTGGTTGAGCCTAATAAAGATAATTATTAGTTTATTGAAATTTTGTGCAGAGTGGATTTGAAAAGTAATGTTGAACACAGGTAAATGTGATAAAGGAAGACATTCTACAAATTTCATTATTTCAAATACTGACCTAATACTGATGCTAAAATATGTTGAATTGCTAAGTGAATAATCTGTGTATGTAGCCAGTCAAACAATGGGAAGGGTTTTGTTAATTTATCATGAAATAACATAAAAAAAAAAAAAAAAACTGTATGAAATTAAGTTTAGAACCAAAATACAAAAAAATGTAGCATGAAAACACATTTTTTTGGGAAACTACTACAATAAACTGGGGTCTAGTGCTGACTCTTTACTGGTTCTCTTTATGAAAATACATTATTTGGTTTCAACTCGATGAAAGACGATCGTTTTCATGCAGCAATATGTGCCACTAAATAGCATCTACTAAGTCATCAACATTTATTTTAATTATAGAGAATGTATCTTTCAATTTGTAGCTTTGCTATATCACATCAAGAATGTCATTGTGATTTAATAGCAACATACTCACCAGAGAATAAATGAAGCCTTCAGGACTGAATCCCCACTGCTGAGCCGGGTTTTCAAGCATTCTAAAACAGGTGAAACAAAAGTGTTTTAAAATCTTTGAACGCAGAGAAAAAGAGAAGAGAGCCTCTATCGAGTTGTTAGTAAACATATGTCAGCTTACTTTTTCTGCATAGCTACAGCAAATCCATGTAATTCAGTCGTTTTATCTGGAAGTGTAGCATCAATCTTGTATTCAGTTGCAGTTAGTGACATACTCGGCATAGCTTTACAGGAAATCATACCAGACTAAGAAGTAAAATACAACATATTTATATAAATATTAAGTCAGTTCATCTTGTCATACTTTTCAAATATGTCATGTATCTAGTTCATTTCTGGTAAGCCATTATTGCGTAAATTTCATAATGGTAGCAGAAAGATCAGCCATCTTTACCTTGCTGATGACCCAAGTCTGGCCATGTGGAGGCCACATTCCTTTATCATTCCATTTCTTTTTGTCAGATACAATTACATCTGGATACAGAACAAGGTTGAGGTTGTCCTGTAAAGATATTAAAGTTTATGTAAGAACCATTAGCACAGTGGTTGCTACACCACACCCATGATCTATTGACTCAAGTTCAAATCCTACATGAGGTCAACCCCAACCCTGAGTGAGAATGTGGTATGGGAAAGTCGACTGAGATTGATTCATTCACTGACTGAATTTCATTGTAGTCTACTGTTTTCAGCACAATATATACTGGTACATCCAAAAAAGGCAGTAATGAACACCCATGAATAGCTAGGTTATCAAGTGTTCATGTCAATAACATGTTAACATGTGTCAACGTATTCAGCATGCGTACTGATGTCAGGTAATGAACGAAAATATTTAAAAGTTTTAAATCTCAAAATTAGGGACATTCTATACTCAACATCAGGCAAAATTCACAATCAATGTGAATTTACCATCTATTCACAACCAGGGCTCAGCAACAAAGGGAATATCTTGCTATCCAAGATTGATAAAATGAAAGAAAGGAAAAAGACCATTACCTTTAACTGCATAAAGTGTGATTTTGTATCAAGTTCTTGTAGTTTCAGATTTGACATGATATGTTCTCTTGATGATTGGTCCATATTCATATTGATATCTTCAAATTCATAGATCAATGGAAATCCTATGCAAGCTTCCCACTGGCTGTGTCTGAGTACAGATAATTGTGAGAATACAGTCAGATAAAGCAGTATTAAAATGCACCACAGCAACTGATGCATTATGAGTATACATGGTTTTCAAGGCACCGCATCAAAGCTAGATAATAGATTTTAATAATTCACAAAATATATGAAAAAATGTCATCATACTTTAGACCATTAATTTTGGTTTCATGTGTTACATGTCAAGTGTTATATGTGATACCTCAGTAAATGAGAAAGGATTACTAACTTTTCTCTTCCAGCACCATAGTCATCTGCTTGCAATGGCTCTTTCATTATTGCGTTCCTTTCACCAAATAAATTAAAACCTCGCACTTTATCCAACTGCAACTGTAGCACAAACACTAAAACACAAAATATGAATTACATTTAACATAATAATACATCATATATCATATATTAGAAAATGGTGATCTGAACAGCATTTCATCATGACTGTAAATAAAAAACAATACACATACGTCAATACTGTACTGTTATTTTCTTTACAATAAAACATTGACACAGCTTGGAATCTCTTACCTTGGCTAGACTTGTAATTTTCTCCCAGTGTAAAGCAGACTTCTTGTTCATGCTCTAGTTCAGACACATCTTTGATTTCAACACTATCCTTTGTAAAGAGTCGCCGTGGTTTACAAGCACCACCATATCTGTTGCCAATTTGATCTAATAGCTAGTAGTAAGATGACAAGAGATAACATCATTAAAACAAGCAGCTTCTGAGCTGATATTGTTCCACTGTATATGATGCATATTCTGAAACTAATCTGATCCATACTTGGAAGCAGACTGAAAATATGTGTCACAAAATGAAAACATCTGATGGCAGTCAACGCAAGGAATGCACATACATGTACTAATGTATCAAAGTAATCAGCTAAACAGTTTTTGAGAAATTGTTGTAAAAGTATAATTTTTGGAATGAACAAATCTGACAGAGGTCCACCTAATCTACATAGAAGATCTCAAAGCAATGAGGCTAGCATTTTTCAAGAAGAAGTTAAAAATTTAAAGTTGATGCCAATATTGGACAATATAGTAAGCTCAGTTTGATTATTTCAACAGCAAAAAGCTTAATATACCGGTACACATTTGTATGCAATTTTAGGTTTATATGTGCTTGTATTACAAATACAGTTTTAATCATTAGTGATAAGTAACCTACCCTTTGCATTATAAATGTTTTTGCATCTATAGGATCCTTTCCTGAATCTCCAAGTTTCTGACCTGAGTTAACACCCTTTGATAATTCTTTCATGTTAACATAAATCACCTCTTCTCTTTCAGGCTTTCCATTCTGAAATACCTAGAAAGGAGGAAAGAGTCATTTCTTTATCAATAAAGAAACATAACACACAATGACTTAAATACAAATATATTTATTTACTATGAGCTTAAGGTAAAATAGCATGATTATGTAACAATAGTCATTTACTGATAGTCACTGCTGTTCCAAACAAAGAAAACTGTCTCTGTGATAGATGACATAATTTACCTTGATTTTAATACCTGGAGTTCCAACCAATCTATCAGAGCTACTTATCTCTTTAATGTGCCCCAATATGTACTCATGTCCAGCAGCCTGTTAAGCAAACATTGGATGATCTAACTACAGTCACAATTACTAAAATCACATTACTATCACATGAAAAAAAAATTCAGGAAAAAATCATAGTCTTAAACATTAACAACACAGTAAATATAGAAGTTACTCTGTGTTTGTTTTAAAGCCATTGTTGAAATGTTGGTTAATTTGCTTTTTTTTCTCAGTAATCATACTTTTCACACTTGATGTACTGACATGTTATCATTAATAAGATTTCATCAAACTACTACAGACTACTACATACCTCTTCTTGTGATACCATTATGTTAATATTTCGGTTGACTTCTCTCAGTTTTTTGAGAGCGGCTTTGAATGTACTAATGTGACCATCAGTTTCTTTCATCTCTTCATAAATGTCATCATCATCCATGGATTGTATTTTACTCACTGTCACCTTATCCTTCTCACCATCCTGTGCATACTCCAACTGTTCTTTGTATTGCTCAAGTCCTTTGATTTTCTGCTTACAGTGAGTAATCACAGCTTTCAGAAAATCTAAAAGAAATCATTTATACTTAAAATTGAAAGGGCAAGAATTTTCCGCCTAAAAAAAGACCTATAAAGATGAAAAAACAGGTGTGTTTCCAATGGAACAGTTTGATTTGCAAATATATTGTTCATATTACAATTCTACAAATCACCATAATTGTGGCACGTATACACTAGACTACATATAGGCAATAGAATAAAAGTAACTTTTTTCCGGCCACATGTAGAGATGATCAAGTTAACCATGATAGTTCAGATCAGATCAGATCAGTATTATCAGCACATACAAATGAATGCATTCATGATAATTTGTTCATACAAGAATGAGACATTTTGTTGATACTACAGTATGAACTCAAACTGAGTTTTGATATGAGTAATGTCATTTGTACGTACCCTTGGTGCCTGATGGACTGAAGCCTTCTCCTTTGGAAATCCACAGTGGTCCAATTACAGGTGTTGTACTTGTCTGTAAGCACTTATCAAGCTTAGGGGCTGAAACATAAAGAGTCAAACATTTGGACTTTCAAATATTTAGAAAAACTATTTAAATATGAAATTATTAAAATGTATTATTAAATCATACCATCATGCAAATCTGTGATAGCTACACCATGCCATGTATAGGCAGCCCTTGCTGGTGTGGTTAAATTCAGTCTACTAGTACAGTCATCAAGAAACTGAAACACAAAAAAAAGATTACAAAATTAATTACAAAGTTTACCAAAAGTACAAGTTCTGCTTGCCATGATTCCTTGGCCATGGAAACTACCATGCAGCATTGTTCACATTAATACATAACACTGTTCAACGGAGCAAACACTAGAGGAGGAATCGCATATGAGAGCGCCCTTCTTTCAATGGACGGTATTTTGTTGCATTACCGATTACATCCGGTCCACAGCTAGTGCATTGAACACGTACATCTGACCCACAGCTTTACTACCGGTAGCGTTTTCTACAGAGGTATTATTTAAATCATTGAGGACCCTTCTGCACTTTTCTCATCGTTTTGAGTTTTTTCCTGATGGAAAGCTTTATGTATGGCTAATGTTTCTATTGGATCCATTTGGGGTTGGCGTTTTAGACATTGATATTAACTAGTATGACATCGTCACCCTATAATCATTGTTGTTGTGACAACTGCAGACAGTATTAGACCAGATATTTCATACCAGTTGTACGTCTCGACACTGAACTACACTACACCACTAAACTAACTAAACTACACTAAGTTAAAGTGACCTGACTCATAGGTCAAGTGACACCTAATTGTGTAAATTCATGATATATGAATACTAATTATGACAGTTTGCAGGCTTAGAAACAGCTCAAAACAGGAGGCGCAATTTGGCGCAATCAAACTGTAGTAAATAAGTATCTATCTATATTCATTGTGATTTTCAGAACATTCAGTTTCTTGCATAACATGAAGGCCATATATTGATTTCCATCAAAAACCGTAGCTCAAAAATGCTATTTACAATAGCTTATTATATAACACCTGAAACCACACACAAGTTACATACATATGGTAATTAAACTGTAATATTTTCTTTTATTTGCCGTAAAATTCAACAAACTTCTGAATTATTGTTGTATTTAAATGAGGAAATAATGCAACCAATCGTGCCATGCAACTCACCACCTGGCAAACACCAAAGTGTATAAGCTTCTCAAAATGTAAATTAAGAATCGGAAGATGATCGAATCAAACTTAACACTCAATGATGGAACTTTATTTGTGTTCATTACTTACAGAAGCAAACTTGTCCATTGAGACTACAACCTCCGCCATCTCCTGACCGTCCCCATTTTTGAAAACCATCACTCGTCTGTTTTTCTGAGCTAACATACTCCTATGTAACAGTATAAAATACAGTCAACAGATATTATTTAAACCTCTTTAGCAGTGGGTAGCTTTTAATAAAGTTATAAACTATTTTTCAATCAACATCAAAGTACACTTTTTATTATCTGCAGAACACAATAATGACAACACAAGAATATTTTCATTATTAGCCACCAAAATATACTGAATTTCTTTAACTTATCAACTTGCATACAGATGGGAAACAACATGGAATACAAGATATAAGAGAATAAACTAAACAAAGCATATCCTGCAATATTCTATGTACAAACCTGAGGCGCTTTGACAAAGCTGGTTTAGTCTTTCTCTTTTTCCTTTCCTCTGCAAACACAACACCGTTCACTGTCCATGAAGCAGACTTCTTCATTTCTATATTGCCTGCAAACACAAAAATTTAATGAATATTTAACTCCTGCTAATAGCATCAGTGTATACACATATATGCCTTGGTTACATGAGGACAAAAATACAGAAACATACCAGGTATATTTCATTCCCAGTTTATATTAGCCATGTACTATGAGCTATGTATTTATGTATTTAAAAACTTGAACAATTTAATGAAATAAACAAAACTAGATATCATCCTTACTTTTTTCACATGTGGTAGGATCTTTGAATGGTTCTCCACATGAGATGTAAATATCATCACCTCGTTCAATATCCGAGGGTAAGAGTGCTTCTTTACCATTAGATAGAAAGACTTTCCGTGCAGCTGTTGTTAATCCTAGCTTCACTGTACACTGTTCCAATAACTGTGAGGGAAAAATATCAAAAGATGACTTAAAACATACATATTTAAAAGAATCTTTTAATGCCTGGTTAAGAGAAGTGTGAACGATTAAAATAACAATCACAGCAGAGAAGAACTGTTTGCAATATAGTGCATTGTGGGTGAAGTTAGCAGATGTGTTACTGTCAGTTCAGGCCTTGTTTTTAGGAAATGGCTAACAAGACAGAAATGGTTCTTCTGAACACAGTAAGGCGAGAAATTAGAAGGGCTACGCTAATTCAGAAATTCAAAATGGCATGTATTAGCTATTATTAGCTATCATGGATTAGAATAGTACTGATATATGATCAGAGTGATTGCTCTCCTCAGATGAAATGCTTTGTCAATTCTGTAAGGGAAGTCATGTATAACTTTGTTCTATGGTTTCACCTCATAGTAACCAAGATGTTTATTCTTATACCAGTAAATCACATACACATATAAATTATAAATAAAGATTGGTAACATACTATTTTAATATTGGGTGCAGATATTTCTGCAAATATGTCTTTATGTCCATTTTTATAAGCTGTACATTTGATGGTGGTTGGTGTCCTGTAGAATGGTCTGTTGCGACGTCCTGATGTGGAATACGATGACCTCATTGAGATTCTTGACACTGTCGAGGTCGTTGACTTGGCACTGGTAGGTCTCATATGACTATAAATTAAATATATAATAAACAAATCAGAACAAGATCTGATGCAGTTGTTTGAAAGGAATACAAACTTGGGTCAGTAAATTGATGGTCAAGTTTCACTTACTTTTTGTTCTTGCTGGAGCACTTGATGGCCTTTCCCTTTTCTTCTTATCGTCCTCTCCTTGTTTTTCCTCGTCACTCCTCTGATTGTCAGGTTCCCATTTGTTTGCATCAGCAATAAACTTGGGGTCAATCCTCTGTTTTTCCCGGGATGCTAGCCTAGCTGATTGGGTGGCAGAAACTGGTCGCTTTGATTTTGAAGATGATTGTTGTAACAAAAACAGGGAACTATGGGGTAGTTTCTGCAAGTACGGTGAACTCAACTTTTGCTGTTTTCCTCTAAAAAAATTCAAAACAATTAATAGGTGAGATAAAATAATTGTAAATAATCGACACACTAGGGAAAACAATCCCCCTTTCTCCACTTTTTTGAATATTCCATCGTGAAATAATATAGTTTAGGTGGTATTCATGAAGAGAAAATATAGTCAAGAGTTAGCTACATGAGAAGGGGGGTCATTAGAGTGTACTTATTTAAAGTAAAAAACATTGTTTTTTAAACATAATGTTTTAAGCATATACATGTAACTTTAAATAAAATAAACTTGTTCATGAATGTATGTTATACTCAATCTATCTCAAGACTCCAGCTAGCATTATTTCAAATAACTCATAAGCCTACAGAACATTTCTATAATCAATTAAAGAATACCAGTGACAATCATCCCCCATATTTTAACAATTTAGTTGTGTCCGGAAACTTGCTTGTTTCTTAAACTCCAGCCATAGCAGTAATGCTTAAAACTATAAACAGCCTGCCCTGTTTACTTTGATTTGTATGTCAACAATAGTAATTGTTTGTAAGAAGAACAAGTCTTTACCCATGGTGTGGAGCATCAAGTCAACGACTTACTAGAATATAATTATACACAGCACGTACTTATAAAAGGGTGTCTGATGTTTTCCCTTTCGGCTATAACAATTTACGAGGAGTTAAAACTGTTTGAATACAAATTGTGAAGGGGCAAAGCATGGCTTTCTTTATGATAGAAATATACCATGCAACCATGCACCAGATTAAATAAGTTGGTAAACCAATTGTGTGGAGCTATCTTTCATGGCAGGCATTTACTAAGTGTTCCTGTCAAATGATTGTACAGGTGTGGCCCATGCTAGATGTCACCTTTCCTGACCCTGTCAGTCTATGCATGCTTTCACCAAGATAGTTGTTATACAAGAAGGCTGTATGTAAATACTTTTATAACATCTATGAGTTAACACGTTGACAGCAGCATTACCAAAAACATAATACAACAAGATAGGAACATTTAAGGTTTCAGCCATATGGCTGTTATTATTGTCAATTTTATGTAAACTGAATCAAAGTAAAGTTCTTTGGTAGAAATATTTTTTTTTACAGGTATTATCAATATCTCTAATTCACTGAGATCTAAGTATTTAGCAATGGATAAACATGATCAAAAAACACCCAAGGCATGGAATTAAGACATCGTTTACAAGTCCTAATCACACTAAACGTGTCTTACCGGGTAGCATAGTTACAAAAAAAGACAGTGCCTTTAGAGACAAAAAAAACAAGTTTTTCAACAAAACAAAAAAAATCCCACTGGAATGGATGATATACTTTGAATTGTTGAGAGAAAACACAAGCAATATATATTGCCAGACAGCAGGTTGATCTCGTCAACTTAGAAACGAGACTCTGCCTAGTACCGGTTTGTTTGCACATAGCAATCAATAGGTCATACACACACACAAGTGAGTTGTTGCCCGCTGCTGACAAACTGAAAGACATCATTGTAGTATACTTACAGTTCAAATGAATTCACGTGGCATATAGCTACAGATAACAATGAATTTTGTGATAGATTTCATCGTGACCGACAAGGAACACTACATCTGTTTACAAAATCGCTTGACTGTAGCAGTTTGCCAAACAGTTGGCTAGTTTTGATTAGACTCTCCTCTTTCCAGATATATGGCCTCTCACATAATAGTGCTGTATTCAAATTTTTTTATTGATTTGGTTTTGTGTTACTCAAACCCCTTATTGTTCTTTAGTCAACAATGGACCAATAGGCAGTGTGTTGTTGACACTCAATCCCCGTAAAGCACAAAACTTTTACAGCTCTGTGGGATAATGAAGTGAAAATCATCGTTGCTGTGCAATTTAATCTATTTACAGGGTTTCTGTTTAAAAACATAAGTACTTATGGATTACAAGTTAAGATGCTACATGTATGAAGCTCATTAATACTAGCTTAAAAGGGTGAAATATGCATAAAAACTTTATTTTTATGATATCCATCATGCACCTCAACTCAAACTAAGGAGTAAACAATAGTACTTGTGTTAGAAATCTTGGGGAAACCATGTTTAGCTCAATGGGTGAATAATAGCCTGTGGATGCTGTTAACACACATACTGGCACTCAGAGACATCATAATGTACATTTCTTTAAACTCATAGAATTTAAGAACATAGAATTTTTAAAAAAAAGATACAATTCAATAACAAGTGTGAAAATACTTGCAGTGGGAAATTTAATTATTCTATTTTGATAATTTATTCTCGTGGGTACAATTACCACTGTAGGATAATAAATTACTTTCTGAATGCTACGCTGTGATTTAAACCCTTGAATGAACAGCTTTGTAGCAATCCAAATTGGCTGAATTGGCTGTAGTCAATTACTGATTACTGGTAGCTGTCACTGTTCACAGCACTCACCATAGACTGATATTAACTAGAAACACTGGTACAAGCATTTTATTCACACGTTGAACTTAATGTGAACTTATAGGCTCCAGTTTCAATGTTAAGTGAGATTTACTTCAATCTCACAGGGGTTTTCTGAGTTAAGTAAATTATGTGCTTGATTTCACAACCATTTCATACACTATAATCATGGAAAATAAGTAACATGAGTGTCAAAGTACAGAAGTCATGGGCAGACAACTAATAACAAAACATGACACAAATACAATATGAGAGAGAATCTAGATAACATAAACAAAAATATTCTCACAGGGAAGAATGACAAAGTATAGAAATGGACAAATAGTAAGAATTCTGTTTAGTCATGCCCAATGAACTGGAAAAGCTATTGTGAGTATGTACTATGAAGTATGCCCTCAAGTGGTGAATTAGTGATTCTTGTGAAATTGGAACAATGTACAAAAAAATGTTTACAGCTTTAGAAATAGCTTTTCTATGGTAAATGTAATGCTGTGAAATTACCAAGATTTTCACTACTGATTATTCAAACAACATATTTGTTAGTTGATCAATGTCATGTGCAGCCTAGTTAACAAACGGCAAAACTATGTGAATCATAAATCATCCTAAACTAAAAACCCACCACCTCTTTCATGTTAAGAAATCCAGGTCATTTTCATCTTTGTGTTTTTGTATATTGTTTGTATGTGAACATTCTAAATGCATAACTAGAAACTTTGATGAACTAACACCACATTTCATAGTATTCCTCAGGTCATAGCCATCTTATCAAGCATACCACAGTGTGTACATTAGATTTTTCAACATTTCATGGTATTATAATCGCAATATTGCATGATAACAGGTCTTGGACGTCAGAAGAAGATATTAACTTGGCTAAGTATCACCCAGTATTTACCACATTACAACCTTGTCATGTTACCGATGCAGTAATAAATGGACAGTGCATCACATTTCATTCCATAAATATTAACCTTCATAAAGCAATTCAATTACATTATGTGCAAGTTAATGAACTTTGGGTAAAAAAAACACATAAACATGAGCTGACAAATTGTTGATATGACTGAAAACATGCCAGACAGGCCAGACAGATACACAACAATGAAACACTCTATGTAACCAATGAACCCTGCACAGACTCTGCACTAGAAGTGGGGTCATAACCTCACCTTACATTAATGGAAATCAGCTACAGCATTAAAACCATTTAGAAATAAATACAATATGAAGCGGAAAAAAGCTGAAGTGCTCCATAATGGGTGTTAATGCAATGAGTAATCTGTAGTAGAAATGAATGTAATTTTAACACATTGTGTATTAAAACACCACCAAATGAAACAATGCATGCAAGGCTTAGATAGAATGACTATAGAGAAAAACATGTGAGTAAATTATCCACCCCTTTACCATATACTTCCTCATACAGAAAAAAAATCCATAAACTAAATAACTCTGTAATCAAGAACCGCTGTAAATCAAAAACCTGTGCAAACCTCACACCACTGTAAACCATTCTCTGATGTAAAGCACACCCCACTGTCATTTTTAAAATGACTGATAATTTAAGAATTGGTAGCTAACTTTTAAATATAAATCACAATCTATTAAGGCAGATATCTTACACATCCAACAAGCAGTGATTCTAAAAAATGAAAAATATCTTTCAGCAGTAGCTGAATTATTCAGAACCAGGCAGAACTTAAATTAAGAAAGACATATTTCAGTGGTGTTAGTCAGTCAGTGAATGAATACTGCCCTCAATGTTCTAATACCCAACACAAAAACACAGAATCTTGTTTAACATAACAAAATTAACAATGTCAGATCACAAACATTTGAGTTTTCAGCCTCCATAAAGACTAAAATAACACTGCAATTACAAAACACATTTACTCAGCGAGTAACTGCCTATTCTATATATCACTCCTCCTCCTAACAACATTGTTTACATGATAATTCCCCTTAGCAACGATGTAAGGTCAAAGGTTGAATGAGTTTAATCTATTGTTGTCAACACACAGCTGATAAAAAAAAAACAGACATCTTTAACGAAACACAGCCAACAGGTAAAAATCCTAATGGCATGATGTTAGCTACTTATATTGTTTAACAATGGTAGTTGTCGTTCAGCATACCAATGTGAGTATTGTACAACTGGAGCAGTCATAACCAAGCACATGTTTCTAAAACTTACATGCTAAAAAAAATTGTTTTACCAAATGACATTGTTATAACCATGTCATTCATAAGGTTTGTGATTAAAAAGGTTACATACGATATGAAAGGTCATAAGTATTAATCTTGATACTGACTCATTATTTATAATCTTTGAAGTCAATCAATCCAATGACAGCTTAAAACTTGTGTCTTAGAAAAAACATGAACCAGGTATAGGTGATTTTCCGAACAATTGCGAGATCTCGCGACATGCATGAAAGACGCGCGTCGAACGTCTGCCGCAAAAATCGAACGATTTGATTTTGAACTAGAATTTCTTTATTTCGCAGCTTACATTGACCGGCCGATCTTCGACAGAGGAATATTGCTTCCGAATACCCTCACTTAATCGAAATTGCCTATCATCAAATGTGGACAGCGCATTATTAAGCATGGAAATGTCCCCGAAATACTTTCGCGTTTGTCGAATCCCATGCGATGTTTGACGTGACTACGACGCTATGACCTTTGTTTGTCCTGTTTTTACGTTCAATTTCACGCATAACGCGTGATTCTCGCAGTGAACGGAAAATGGTCTATTCCATGAAAATATTTAATATTATGGAAAGCATTGGCAGTCAAGACATTTATGCACATCACTATACTTCCTAATCTCTCATAGTGTATAAGATTCCCTAAAAAACTTAAAAAGACATTAGATTACAATCCCCCGCTGAGGGTTTTGTTGTGTAATAAAGTCATTATTATTATTACCGCAAAAATCCTTTGTGTCACTTTTACTTCCTGTTCTAGTCGTCTCAGAGAATACCACACACACCGGTAATAGGTACTCAAACTCAAGACGTAAATGAAAATGTTTTCACCTTATAAATATAATTCATCATTTTGTTGCCATGCAAACCAAACAAAACAGTCTGACACTGACTGACATCATCTGTCATTTACTAATCTTGTTTAAAATCTCTTTGTTAC